GGTGGTGATGTGCGGTGATGTGCGTGGAAGACTTCCGGACCACAATTGGATTGATGACCGTGACTGGCTGGGAGTTGTAGCTGGTGCAGGGTGACTCTTCCTCAAAAGCTTGACAAATAGAAGTCCCACGCTTGCAGTTGTTTCCCTCATGCCTTTTCTTTTCTGGGAGGCTTCGTTGAGGAGACTAGCACCACCCACTTGGTGCACCAGCGAACCAGATCATCTGCGCTCCCTTATGCTCCCTTCAGTTCTCTGTTCCGCGGGTCACTGGTGGAGCAGCTGGACCTCCCGGATGCCCCGGACGCCCCGAAGCCGCCCCGGAGCTCCGGTCGCTCCGGTCGCTCCTCAGGTTCCACGAGTTGGCGACCTTCGACCTGACCAAAGCGGAGTGTCGGAAAGCGTCGGACCGAGTCCTGGTTCACCTGGTCATCGCCCGTTGGTATGGAAGAGACTTGCCGGAATGAGCCGGGAGAAGGGGCTTCCCAGGTCGGAGTGGGAGAACGGCAGCTAGATGCCCGTTTGGGTCACGGGTGCACTCACTCGGTGTGGAGCTACTGGAACCGAGGAACTCCGTTCGCTCGGTCATTGGTGATGTGCACTCGGTCATTGGGGCGAAGGCATCAGACAAAGTCAGAAGGCAAACCTCCGATTAGCACGCACACACTCACACACTCCGAAATGTACTGTACATGTATATGTGTATGCAATGTAATGTAATGTAATGTAATGCGATGCGATGCGATGGAATGGAATGGAATGGAATGGGATGGGATCTATCTATCTATCTATCTATCTGCCTGTCTGTTTGTCTGTCTGTCTATCGATCTATCATCTATCTATGTTTGTATCACGGATAATAAACCAACATAATTTCAAAAACCTTTGTTCAACAAGTAAACGCCACGTATCATCTGATTTCGCCGCCAGCACGTGACGGGCGCAAGTCGCCCAGACAAGGTGCGGATGCCTTTGTGAACTTTGTGCGTGGGCCCCTGTACCAAGAGATGATGGCAAGTCCAGCTTCGACGAGTGGATTCACCAAATGCTACGCACTCAGAGCACAGTAGAGCAACAAGATGTATGCAACCATGCATTTCCTTGTGGCAGAGTGAACCGAGGATGTGTTATTTTCAGGCCTCCAGAATTCTTTGCTTCAGGTTTTAGGCCGCATGGCCCCCCGTGGGCACCGCAAGCATGTGAAGCATGTGAAGCATGCGAAGCATGAGGCTATACACCCCTCTTCTTGACGGGCTTTGTGTCCGTGGGCCTCGACACGCTGCTCCTGCTTCGGGCAGCTCAGGCGTCGCCGCTGGAGATCACATGCCGCTGGGCCTAAGTGGGGAGGGGCGTCTCCCCCTGGAATAATCATGGAAGTGGAAAACCGCCTGTTCATAGAGGCACATGTCTTTCTTTCTGGGCCATGCCATCCACTTCCACGAATATTTCCGGGAATGTATTTGTTTCGTGGCAAGTTCGACATAGATATGGCTGCTGCATTGATAGGAGGAAGAAAGCCCTTCAGGAGTCAGACTGGACCGTTCTTTTAGCTACATAGGCCTTTTACTGCATAGGCTGAGGCTCTTTAGAGGGTCATTCGGCCAAATGACCTTCGATCACATTTTAGATGATCATATGGCCCTCCCGGCTGCTACGCTCCATCAAGCATTCACCTGTGAGTTCTGTAGAGTTGGATCCTCAGATCCTCAAGATCCTTAGAGGTGTCAGATCCAAAGTGGGAAGTTCTCAGTCCTTTCAGGGGCGTCACGACCTTTCTTCTTCCCGAAGCATCTCTTCCCGGAGCCCCATCCAACATGCTCAGGCTATGTCTTCGGGCCCCTGATCACCTTTCATGTGGCACCTGGGCTGTGTCGCAGTCTACGGTCGTGAAAGCCCTGCGCGCCCTGCGCTCGGGTGGGCAGGTGGGCAGGTGAAGCAGGAAGCAAGCATGGCCCTGGCGAACGTTTGAGCATGTCAAGACATGTGGCTTCTCTTCCTCTAACTAGATGGACGACGTGAGATCCCCCCACGTCTTCCCCTTTGGTGCAAACCACAGAACTCGTGGGACGTCTTCCAGGCCCAACCAAGTCGGGCATGCCGACGGTCCGCGGAGCCAGGTCTGGCCATGGCGGGACCGGGCGCATCGAAACCATACCGTTTATACATACGGTGTGGTCCATGACCAGCATATTGGTGAGCGGCCTCCTCTACTAACAGAAGCGGACAAATCCACTGGTATACGGTATGCTGGTAGTGGCGTAGTGGCTACTTTTACATGCCACTCTACTGCTTTTCAAAAGCCCGCCCAAACTCGGCACTGCACAACAAATTTCTCGCCAACATGTCCATCATCCAGATGCCTCATCCACTGGACTTCTCACAACAAAGAAGTAAGCCGACTTTGGATCTCTTTTCCAGGTAGCTTGCCGCACCTGGTGGCCGCAGGTCTTGCTTCCGCCGAGATTCTCGGTCATTCGACCCCAGGTCCCAGGTCCACCTAAGAACACAAAACCTGCGTCGTGGCCCGCGCGATGCGACGACAAAACCGAGAAAACCGAGAAAACTGAGAAAACCAGAAAACCGAGAAAACCGAGAAAACCGTTTTCGCGTTTTCCCGTGTGGAAGCTTTTTCCAGTTTGCTTACGTCTTCTTGCTTGTCTTGCCTTTGAGCGTGAAAACCACAACCAAGAAAACCGGCAAAACGAGAAAACCAAGAAAACGGTTTTCGTCGTTCTCGCCGTTTTAGCCGTTTTCGCCGTTTTCGCGTTTTCGCCGTTTTCGCGTTTTCGCCGTTTTCGCGTTTTCGCCGTTTTCGCCGCTTTCGTCGCTTTCGCCGTTTTCGCCCGTTTGCGCATTTTTGTCGTTGTCGCCATTTTCGTAGTTTTCGCCGTTTGTGTCGGCTTCGCGCAGTCG